GTGTCTGGGAGACCTCACTGACATCAACGAGGCGGTGTCTAAGCTTGAAGCTGCAGTTGAACTCATGCAGGATGGCCATCAACACAAAGCCTCACTCCTCACTACTCTTGGGTATTTGCTGCTAAGTCGCTTTCGGAGCTTAGGGGACCTCGCTGACATCAACCAGGCGGTGTCTAAGCTCGAGGCTGCAGTCGAGCTCACTCCGGATGGCCACCCGGACAAGCCTTTACAGCTGAACAATCTTGGGAATTCGCTGCTCAGTCGCTTTGAGCACTTGGGAGACCTCCCTGACAGCAATGAGGCGGTATCAAAATTTGAGGCTGCTGTTGAACTCACTCCAGACAGCCACCCAGACATGCCTTCATGGCTGAGCAATCTTGGGAATTCCCTGTGCAGTCGCTTTGAGCGCTGGGGAAACCTCAGTGACATCAACCAGGCAGTGTCCAAATTTGAGGCTGCAGTTGAACTCACACCGGACAGCCACCGGGATAAGCCTTCACGGCTGAACAATCTTGGGGATTCTCTACGCAATCGCTTTGAGCACTTGGGAGACCTTACTGACATCAACCAGGCAGTGGCTAGGCTCGAGGCTGCAGTCAAACTTGTGCAGGACAGCCATCGAGACAAACCCTCACTCCTCAATAATCTTGGGAATTCGTTGCTCAGTCGCTTTGAGCGCTTACAGGACCTTACTGACATGAACCGGGCAGTGTCTAAGTTCGAGGCTGCAGTTGAACTCACTCCGGATGGCCACCCAGACAAGCCTTCACGGCTGAACAATCTTGGGAATTCCTTGCGCAGTCGCTTTGAGTGCTTAGGGAACCTCACTGACATCAATGAGTCAGTGTCTAAGCTCAAGGCTGCAGTCGAACTCAGTCCAGACAGCCACCCGGACACGTGTTCATGTCTCAACAATCTTGGGATTTCACTGCTCAGTCGCTTTGAGCACTCAGGGGAGCTCGCTGACATCAATGAGGCAGTGTCAAAACTTGAGGCTGCAGTTGAACTCACGCCAGAGGGCCACCCAGCCATGCCTTCATGGCGGAACAATCTTGGAAATTCCCTGCTGGAACGATATAGGCAGCTCCATAATCCTTACGATTATCATGCAATGCTGGTTCAATACACTTCTGCAGCATGCTCACCAACTGGTGCTGCACAAGTGCGGTTTCAGGCAGCCATAATGTGGGCAAGAGCTGCTGAAATGGTCCCACATCCATCGCTCATCCAGGCATATACTACAGCCATTAATCTCCTCCCTGAACTAGCCTGGCTTGGCCTATCTATCAGCGACCGGCATCACCACATCCTCCAGGCAGGCCAAGTAGTGAGAGATGCAGCCTCAGTAGCAATTGCAGCAAATCAATTATCCACCGCAGTTGAGTGGCTTGAACAAGGCCGCTCAGTTATCTGGGGTCAGATCTTCAACTTGCGTACTCCTGTGGATGATCTGAGGAAATCTCATCCTGACCTCGCAGATGAGCTTGTCTCTTACTCCACCCAGCTGGAAGCAGCCGGCATCAAGAGTCATGCTATAGTGGGGATGGATGCTGGACCATCACAGTCACTGCATGCTGTTGCACAGGATGCCCATGCTCTGGCGGATAAAAGAACCAAACTCTTGAAGCAGATCAGAAAGTTGGCCGGGTTTGAGCGGTTCTTATTGCCAAAGCCAATTTCTGAGCTTTCACTCGCTGCAACAATGGGCCCTGTTGTCCTGTTGAATATCACTGAACACAAGTGTGATGCTCTCATCCTTATGGCAGGCCTCCAAGATGAAGTCATGCATGTCCCACTCCCCCACTTCACCTTACAGGATGCACAGTCAATGGCAGAATCTCTTGGTTCTCTTGTGAGTGGTGCTGCACGCAGTGAGAGGTTGGAAGGACACCGGGAGGGGGATAAACCTCTGAATGAGCAGTTTTCACAAATACTCTCCATGCTCTGGATGCGAATTGTTAAGCCTGTCTTGAATGGGATAGCTTTTTCGGTAAGCCATTTTTACAAAGCAATTCAACCTCTCATTATTGTTCCAGACTCCACCAGACCAGGATCTAGGACGTATTTGGTGGTGTCCAACTGGGCCACTTGCCTTCCTCCCCATCCATGCAGCAGGCCTCTATGGGAAGGACAGAGGCTTCAGCTCGAAGTTGTCTGACTTCTTTATTTCTTCCTACACCCCCTCGTTGACAACCTTGATTGAGGGCTTACGGCCCAGATGCGAGTCAGGAGAAAGACTCCAAATCCTCGCTGTTGCTCAGCCAGCTGCCGTCGGACAAGCCTACATTCCCGGGACCCTGGCAGAAATCGACTGTATTAGACGCCTCACCACCATTCCTATTTTGCGTTTGGAGCGAGATCTGGCAACGGTAGACAGTGTTCAAGATGGCATGAGGAAATGTCGCTGGGCACATTTTGCCTGTCATGGTGTCCAGGATTTCTCTGATCCGACAAACAGTGCCCTCCTCTTATCTCAGAGTTCAAGGTTAACACTGTCAAGGATTATTCAGCTATCTCTTCCAGACACCGATCTAGCATTCCTCTCTGCATGCCAAACTGCCACCGGGTCCAAAACCCTCGAAGATGAATCGGTTCATTTGACTGCTGGAATGTTATTGGCAGGTTACCGCGGTGTCATCGGGACAATGTGGTCCATCAGGGATAATGATGCCCCCAAAGTCGCCGGTGATATTTATGCACATCTATTCAAGACATCACCACCGGATTCAACCAGGGCAGCTGAAGCACTTCATCTCGCCATTGGGAAGCTCCGGGACTTGGACATGGCTGGTGGGACTGAATCGTTTTCCCACTGGGTGCCATTCATACATGTTGGGGTTTAATATAGGTGATAACAGACATCTAGAGTACTACACACACCATAGGATGTACTCTCTGTAACTCCTGTATTTCTTTCTGCCCGTATTCTAACCACAAATTCAGATGTATCGGTCTACCACCAAGTGCGAAGTTGGTTAATGGGGGATTCTGAGCCAATAGAGAGGCCAGCATCCTCCTACCCTCACGTCGAACCTCCGGCGCCCTCATTATGAGATGTGTGTTTACATCTGGTTACAGAAATAATGCCACTAGCTGAAAACAGACTCGGAGTAAGAAGAGCAAATTTTGATTCGCCCGCTATATCTCCCTCCTTCCTGGACGGATTTTCGGAGTTTTAAAGGAATTTGAAACGGTTACACAGGGCCCTCCGACAATAGCCTATGCAACGGACCACCCAGATACTTAGAAGGTTTTGAATATTTTATAAAGTATAAAGCTTGTGATCACTTCGTAGAAAGACAGCCTATCCTTCTGGTTTTGAGGATATTCTCGCAGAAACAAAGAAAAGGGGTATATTCTCTCGCCATTTGCACCGGGTGAGTCTCGGCTGGACTCTGGGCAGCATGAGTGGACATAAATGGGAACCCTCATCTTTGAGTTGAATCTGAACTACCAAAAGTGGTCAAACCAACGGGAAATGCCTAGAATCGAACATGTTGGTGGAATGGCCAAAAGTGGCAATCTGCCCGATCCCTGAGGTGCCTTAGTCATCTTCTTACTAATGTTGAGTGTCTCCAGTTTTTGTAGAATATTCTAGTTACCTCTGTAGTATGTAAGCTGAGGTAGTAGGCCAATCTTGTCAGGAAATTGTTAATCTAAAGCCTAGCAGCTGAGTGCAATCTATTCAACTTTCAATCCTTAATCCACAGAACCTCTTGATCCTCGTTCATTCATGCAGAGGGTGAAAATTCAAAACAAAACAGCAAACTGCTAAAGGACTTTTGAGTTTTTGGCCTACATTTTTGGTGAAAAACTTCTGCAAAATTCAAAATATTTTTCACCAAATTTTTCAGTCAAAAATTTGAAATGTTCAACCAGTGATACTCAGCCAGTTCCTCCCTTGCTCAAGTGCAGCACTTTTCAAGGAAGGTCATAGCATGTCGAATAATGATCATCGCCGTCGGTGCAAGGCATCGGAAAGTCCTGCGGGGAATATTATTTGAGTAGTAGAAGTGCCACTCTGGGGAATTGGGTGGACTCTGGAAGAGACTCCGCTTGGAGAACACCAAGAGAAGGAAAAAGATCAAAATTTCGGCACCATAATTCGGTGGCAGGGAGTCGAACCCCGGACTGCACATTAACACTTGACGGTGGCCCTGAGTGTAGACCCTCAGTGTTCCATACACTACACCCAAGCATTTACTCTGCCCCCTTCCTTCCCAAACCGGTGACTTGGAGCGCGAATTTGGGGTGCTGAAGTTGAATAAATGCCGTAGCATCAGTTCTTGCCAAAGTGATTCCGAACAACCGATGGGTCTTCCAGCAGCCAAGAGGAGGGGGAGCTCCGGATTTTCTAGGGTTCATCGCATATTCGAACGGAGGCTAATGAAATAATGTTGTCAAGACATGCAATTCGGGTGCGGGGAGTTGAACCTCAGACTGTCAGCTGCAATCAGCTTTAACTGGCAGATGAAGACCGTGGTGTTCCGTACACCACACCGGAGTACCTACTCTGTTCTCTCCTTCGCTAAACGAGGATATTTGAAGAGCCAAGTTTGTGCGGCTAATGCCGAGCCTACGAATGTCCAATAAGTTGAGTGGATAGCCCGCTTTTGAATAAGGTGTTCACAACGCCCTGCGGCGCATTCTAGAGTATAATGAACCGGTCAGCGGAGGGAGAGTGCCGAGGGCCTAGTTGAATTTGAAGCATGGAAACAGAATAAAAAACGCATGGATGCGGGGAGTCGAACCCCGGACTACGAGCTAGGCTTAGACTCGTGACCAGTCTGCCTCCGAGGAGTAAAAAAAATGAGGCAAGCTCTTTGCCGTAGGCAGACTGGTACAATTCGGAACGATCGATTGGACTGAGCCCAAGTGATTCTGAACAACCGATGGAGCTTCCAGAAGCCAAGAGGAAGGAGAGCTCCGAACTTTCCAGCGCTCCTACCGAGCATGGTTCGAACGGAGGCTGATCAAAAAAGAGCTGCAAACGCTGGTTATTCGGGCGCAGGGAGTCGAACCCCGGACTACGCGCTAGAATCACGCCTCCAAGACTATAATGACGCACGGTGTTCCGTACACCACACCCGAATATTTATCCTATTTGTCCCTTCGTCAAGGCAGGGACTTGAAAAGCCAAATTTGGCAGCGTTGCCAGCATTTAGACGGCGACTCGGAGGTTCGGGATTTCTGCGATCCTGGTTGACTCAACATCAGTGCTCGGACCGCGCGAGTGGGCGTGTAAATGCCAGTGCGCGCGCCAACTACGTCGGAGGGACGAAGAAAGAAAAGTCAATTCAATTCCCATGATTCGGGCGCGGGGAGTCGAACCCCGGACTGCGCGCTACAATCGCGCTTCATGCACTCCAGGAAGACGTGCAGTGTTCCGTACACCACACCCGAGTATTTACTTTGTTCTTTCCTTGGTCAAGGCAGGGAGTTGGCGAGCTAATTTCCGGCGCGTAGGAGCTGTTAGCGATTTCCGACGTGCAGGTTGAATAGATTGTGCAGCTCAGTCAAACTCAGTTCGCATTTGTAGCGCTAAACGTCGGAAAGAGCATACACGGTGGTAGTTCCATATCTACTTGCAGCAGCTGAACGATTAGAAGCTGAAGCTGAAGCCACGAAAAAGGCTGACTCGGATCTTCGATTCGGGCGCGGGGAGTCGAACCCCGGCCTGCGCGCTAGCGCCGTTCTTACAAGAATATGATGTCGCGCGGTGCTCCGTACACCACACCCGATCATTTCATCTGTTCATTCCTTGGATAAGGTAGGCACTTTAGACAATCGGACGGTCAGTGCTAGCTTCGAGTATTATGGCCCCGGAGTTGCGGAGCTGTGCACGCGTGCGCACCGGAGTGTGCGCGCTCAGTGCGGAGCGGAGCCACGAAGCTAGCTGTAAGTATAGGTGTTCCGGTGTTATTGGTTCGTAGGGTCCGGCGCGGAAAGCTCGGAGGCGTGTGGGCATCCCGACGGCCGGGACAACTGGGGATTCTTCGGGGCTCAGGGGCTTTGCGCGGGACAAGACATACGGCGAACGTGTACGAAGAACGAGCACGGGGGAAAGAGGGGCGAGAGGGACGAGAGGGACGAGAGGGACGAGGCAGGAACGAGAGCTAGAGGATTTGCTTGGAGTCGCATGCGCCGTGGGGACGAGGCACATATGCAAATGCAAATGCAATCGCGCGATTTGCGCGTTGTGGGCTTGAGACGGGCAGGCACGGGATAATTCACGCCGGTCGAGTTGCTTACGCGGCGCGGGCTGCGGGCTGATTTTGCGATAGGTTATTGCCTGATGCACTCGGGCCGGAGATTCGACGCGTTATGTGCGGTGTTCACGAGATCGCGCCGGCGCACTTGGGAGGCCATCAGATTCACATTCACGAGGATAGATAGCACACGTAGACGCCGGACGGGACGTTCGGGGGCGATGAGACATCGCCCGGGCAAGGACATGGAATTATTGCGAATGCGAAGGTCGGGATACAGCGCGCTTGAAGGCGCGCTCGCACGGAGCCGTGCTGGGGATTGGATTGTGGGGTGGCACTGCGCACGCGCTGCCCGGGGTGGGGGAGGGGTGGATGTACGTCGTGCGCGGGACGGGTATGCAGATTATTACTATCAGATACCTGACAGCCCAGGCTCGCATCGCATTAATTTCGTGGAGGGCCGACGGGTGCGGTTCACGGGGACAGAGCGGGTTACTATTCGCCGGATATTCTGGCTCACGTACATAGACTCGATGGCTCGAGCGCCTCCAGCGTTGAGATTGTTGTCCCGAGCCCTCGTGCACTACGCTTTCCGTATTTGCTTGTCATTGTCATTCAGAAGAGAAGTCGTGCACTGCATCTGATCACAAGGTTGAACTGTTGGTTGATTGTTGGCGTGCCGAGTCGCTGAAAGAGCAAAACGCATGGATGCAGTTGAGGACCGCCGATCACCATTCATTGACGCCCACGAATGATCGATGTCGAGAGCGCTGAGCTATTAATATCTACGGTCGCCACATGGCGGAGGCATCAATCGCCAGCCGGTGAATGCCGACGGGAGTACAAGAAGACGAAGACTTCAACAAGCACCACGGAGCACCACGGTCCGTGATCTGGGGTGGATCAGCATGCGTAACCATGACCATTACAAAGCTCATGCGGATGGCGCTGCAGACTCGGTGAAGAATGGCCCGGTGTTCAACTAGTATAAAGTTCGCGCTCGATGAGACAGTAGCCTCAGTTCAATTTCCTCCGCATTTCCCAACGAGCACGCAATGCAATTCACGCTCCTTCTCCCTCTTTTCGTTGCGGCCCTCGGTCAGCTCGGCCACAGCGCCCCGGCAGTCGACGACAGACTGCTCGTCCAAATTCCATCCGTCGACGGCATGAACGCTTTCACGGACGCGTGAGCAACGAACCAATCAATGTTGGCAATACTGACTATAATCATCGCAGTTGGACTGACGTGTGCACACTCTGGCCGCCGTTCAACACCAACGCTGTCCCCAACCCCGGCATGAGCCTCGTCTCGAGCTTGGTTGAACCGGGTGACTTCTCGGGCAACAATGCCGATAGTGCGTGGTTCATCGATCCCTGTCAGACTGCTTGCTAACCACGGCGGCCATCGTCTTCAGCTGAAGCCAAGGTCGTCTGCGTGAGTGTCCGGCAATGAGATCGAAACCACAACTAATGGCATGTATTGTAGACGTGGACTGACGGCACAAAGCTCATCGCCATCACCCCGGATGTCGCAGATTTCGTTGGCGCGACCCTTCTTTAGATCGTACACATATATTTAGGGCCAGTGGCGTGAATCTTGCAATGTAGTGTTTTCTTTGTCAAGTTATCTGAAGTAGATGGTGATGACCAGAATTACCGTGGTAAGAAGGGCGGGTCGCTGGTTTCCGCGCGTGGTTCAATGATAGCGCGGTGGGCGCCTGTCTACACACATCGCGGCGCGGCGAAACGGGCGGCCACAGACTACGCCGCGCAGCGCAGCGAAGATAACGCAGGAGCCGCGGGTCCTCGCTGCCAAGGCAGAAGCCCCCGCATTATATACGCTGAAGCGCGCCCGTCGCGGTACAGAACGCGCAGCTCGAATCGTAAATTTAAAGAACGGACTCTGCCAGTGCACTAAACGAGGCGCACTGGGCGCACGCGACGGCCGAGGGCTGGCCTTCAACACCACGCCGGTGGCAGCGCAGCCCGTACCGCAGACAGCCGGGGGCGAGGGAGGAAGCGGCAGGATAGATGCGGAGGGCGGAAATAGCTCGCGCGCGGCGCATCCCCGAGGCCGAGGCGCCACAGGATTATCGCCGCGCCTGCTTGCGTTCGACGTGCGGCACCTCACGCGCAGCACGCGGGCCACGCCAGCGGCGGCAGCGCGGGTGCCTGTCCATATCCCATATCGCAGCGCACGACATGGGCGGACACAGACTGCGCCGTGCCGCGCCGTGAAGATATCGTTCCGCAGGGGGTGCGACGAGAGGTCGGTCCTCCCGCAGCGCAGCCCGAGCGCAAAGCGCGCAAGACGGCGGGCGCCCACGCAGTATGTACGCGGGCGCAGCTCGGGTCGCAAGAACGGAGTCTGCCAGTGCACTCAAGGTACATGGATGGGCGCAGGACGGGCGCTTCTCGCAACGCACACTGTGACGCAGCCCGCCCCGGAACACCGCGGATCGCCTGTCACAACGCCCCTCAGCCCGGCGCACCGCAGACGATTGAGCGCCGGGGCGCGCAGCCGAGAAGGAGGAAGGAGATGAAACGGGCGAGTATGAGTGTGAGCAAGGAGGAAGGAGGACGGAGGGAGGGATCTCAACCGGGCCTTTTGCAGCTCTAAACCGATTTTTTTGATGCTGGTTAATTTGTACCTTGATTTCGCACAGGGCGAACGCAATTTCGGAACAGCGTAGCGGATGCCTACAGAGCCGTAGCGAGTCTGACACTGAAAGACAGAACAAAAAGTCTTAGCTCCAGACTCATGACTCATTCCGGTGCGGGGAGTCGAATCCCGGACTGCGCGCCATCGGTGCCACACACCTTCGGTACGGAGGCGCGCGGTGTTCCGTACACCACACCCGACTATTTTCGTTCTGTGCACCGTGCCCTACCAAATGAGGCACCTGAAGAGCAATTTTTGGGTGGCTAATCAGAAGTTGAGTTCCTGAATCCTGCATCTCTTCGAGGCTGGTTAGATATGAGTATGTCGCAGGGGCAGTAGAGAACCGACGTTCACGCATCGTGAGTTGAACCGGGCCGAAGGGTGCAAATTTGCGGGGATCCGCTTCATGGGGGTAAAATGTTGGCAGGCGTTCACACGTGATGCGGTGTCATGAAAGTTCCCGCTATCTTATAGTGGGTTTGTGTGGGGTGATCGTTTTTTCACTTTTTCGCAATGATGGAGTTTCATGTCTTGCCTTTTTTGGAAAATTCGTCCTGGTTTGGTCTAATTTTTTTGATGTTATCATCCCTTGATCTCGTCTGCCGATCGCCGGCACCCTGCCCGCTACCTCGCGGCTCAGCCTGTGCCAAGAGGCACGCGAAAATGCCGAAAAGACGCCCAAGCCCGGTCTTTAAGTCTTTTGGGGCGCTGAATCCGAATCTGACGTTTTTTTTTTCTCGCTCAAAATTGGCAGAGAAAAAGATAATTCTTCGATTTTGAGTGAGATCGGACTCGAAAAATTTCGGAAAAATCAGAATCAGAAAGCTGGACCCAGAAAATGGAAGTGTAGGGAAAGGTCCGAAGGCGCTCCGAGAAGTATTCGAAGCGCTAGAGGCGATTCCGGTGTCTAAGTGGCTGTGTTTTGCTTACGTTTTTGCTTTTTTTGGGGGCCTTGTCAAGGAGGTCTCGTTCCCCCGGGAATTGCCGCGTGCCTCTTGGCCTCTGCTCACCACGCTCTGTGCCTCTTTAAATAACTCTGCGCACATTCTCAAGCACATCTCCTTCTGTGATGTCTATCGGTGTTGACAGCACCTCTGAACCTTCCTTTTATACTCTCGGAGTAACTCACCTCTGATTCTGCTGCGCGTGCCACGTGCACAAACTAAGCCACTTCAACTAACTGGTTGCTTCCCCGCTGCCCATACTCCACCTACTTCATCACAGTCGGCACTGGGGCCTTTGGCAACCACTCTATCTTTGTTCTGCGATATCTCGCCCCATTCGCCGTGGAATCGCCCAGGCATCTCGGCTGCGAATGGGGGGCACTCCAGCCAGCCAGTTTACTGGGGTATCGTGTTGGGCTCGGTGATTGTCCGATGCTTGATGGTTGTTGACAGACCACACTCGACCTTTGTCTGGTGCGTGTTAATACTTCCATCTCTTGAGTCCGCTCGTACCCTTTTAGCTCCATTGTTTGCGAGATCTACTTCTTGCAGGTGTCAGTGCTCTCCATGTGCGTGCCCTCATCTCCA